CTTCTCCTTGAAAAGCAAAAGAAAAACTCCTTCACTGGTACACAACTCCCCCCACCGCACACCCCCATCCCCACCCCCACCCCAAATACACTCCACTCTGCAACCCTCATTCCCAACTCTTATGATAATCATAATGCCCTAAAATATATTAATTTTAAACTATTCTCTCCCTCATCGGCCACAATGCAGTAAACATAATTTATCCAGTTTCTCTTAGTCTTACCCCCACCCCGATGTCAGCATCATTCTACAACAGTGGCACCATATAGTATTTGTCCGTTTGTGACTGAGATATTTCACTCAACATAATGTCCTCCATGGTCACCCATTTTGAATAATATTGCATGAGTTCCTTGTTTTTCAATGCAGCCTAGTATCCCATTGTGTGAATATACCACAGCTTCTCTATCCATTCATTTGCTGATGGGCACTTAGGTTGCTTCCAACTCTTTGCTATAGTGAACAAAGCCGCGATAAACATGGGTGTGCATATTATCTGCTTAGATGTCAGTTATGGCCTCTTTAGGTTATATTCCCAGTAGTGGAATTGCTGGATCAAATGGTATCTCTATTTGCAACTTTTTGAGAAAGCGCCACACCGCTTTCCACAGTGGTTGCACCATTTTACACTCCACCAATAGTGAATAAGGGTTCCAATCTCTCCACAGCCTCGCCAGCATTTGTTGCTTGCTGTTCTGTTAAATTTTGCTAGTCTTACTGGAGTGAGATGTTATCTGTGTTATTAACAGGAAGGTTGGAGGTACAGACTTACCAACTACTGTTGTTGTTGTTGTTGTTATGTGCCGTCGAGTTGTTTGTGACTCATAGCGACCCTATGTACAACAGCCCTAAACCCTGCTCGATCATGTGCCAATCTCATTGCCTCTGACACACCCATCCCGATTACCCCAGTCACTGAAGCAATCCACCTCGTAGAGGGTCTTCCCCTCCTGTGCTGTCCCTCCACTCTGCCCAGCATGATGTCCCTCTCTAAAGACCTGTCTCTCCTTACAACATGTCCAAAGTATGTCAGGCGAAGCCCCAGAATCCTTGCCTCCAAGGAGCAGCCTGGTTTAACCCTCTCTAGGATGAATCTATTTGTTTTCTTGGCAGTCCATGGTACATTCAATACTCTTCTCTAGCACCACAGCTCAAAGGCGTCAATTCTCCTACTATCCTCCCTAGTCATTGTCCAACTCTCTGATGCATAACAAGTGATTGCAAAAACCATGGCCTGTATCAGGCGCACCTTAGTCTTCAGAGAGACACCGTTGCTCTTGAGTACTTTAGAGAGGTCCCTAACTGCAGACTTTCCCATCGCAATACGTTTTTTGATTTCCTGGCTACTGGTGCCAAGAGTGTTGACTGTGGAGCCGAGCAAACTGAAGCTGTGAACAATCTCAATCTCTTCACCATCCATCCTGATGCTACTGATTGGTCCAGTGGTGAGAATTTTTGTCTTCTTGACATTGAGCCTCAGTCCATACTGAAGGCTGCAGTCCTTGACCCTCCGCAGCAAGTGCATGAGGTCCTCCTCAGTTTCAGTGAGCAGGGTTGTGTCATCTGCATAACACAGATTGTTGATAGATCTTCCATCAATCCTAATGCCACGCTTCTCCTCATAGAGCCCAGCCTCTCGGATAATCTGCTCTGCATACAGGTTGAAAAGGTATGGAGACAGGGCACATCCCTGGCGTACACCCTTCCCAATTTTGGACCATGCAGTGTTACCCTGTTCTGTTCTGACAACTGCCTCTTGGTCCAAGTATAGGTTTCACATTAGCACGATTAAATGTTCTGGGATTCCCATTCTTCTCAGAGTCAGCCACAGTTTGTTATGATCCACACAGTCAAATGCCTTATCATAGTCAATGAAACACAGATAGACATTCCTCTGGTACTCCCTGCTTTCAGCTAAGATCCATCTAACATCAGCTACAATATCCCTAGTACCATGACCCCTTCTAAACCCAGCCTGTACTTCTGGCAATTCTCTGCTGATGTACGGTTCCAGTCGTTTTTGGATAATCTTCAGTAGAATCTTGCTTGCATGTGAAATCAATTATAGCTATCATTGTGAAAGTATGTCATCAGCCACTTTGTTCCTCATGCATTTATATCCCGCCACTTTAGATAGCCAATTTCTGATTTGCCCATCCCTATTATACCAGAACTCTGAGGATACAAGCATGTTCCTTTCTCTGAAGAATCTCCTATTCCAGTTAAAAGTTTTTGTATTTGCATCCAAGGGAGCTCTGGTGGCCTAGTGGCAAAAAGTTGTGCTGCAGTCCCAAGGGTATGAGGTTCAAGGACACCAGCTGCTCCACAGGAGAACGATGGACAGTTTCCTCATGTATAATTAACTGCCTCTGAAAACTCACTGGAGAGTCAGCTATGGGTCCGTTCTGACTTGACAATACAAAGCAACATTTGCATCCGTAAGCATAAGTCCAGTCATTGTAGCCATCAACACTAGATCACAGCATGGAGTATCTCCTTGGGTTCAAGCCATCAAAGGCTACGTCCAAATGGACATCATTGCAAACTCAGGAATCCACACTCTTCCCGTGTCCCAGACTAACTGGTCCCTTCACTTGGTCTTAATCCCCACATGGGGCCAAGTCAATAAGATGAGGTTTCACATGACTTCTTGTTTTCCAAAGTCAGCAACCTTTTTGAGATTATCCATGTGTATGCTTGGTCGACAATGCTGATGGAACCTGCCCAGCCTGGTTCTTCATTGGTGAATGCCTCTTAATTCCACTCTGGTGGATCCAGGTGGTCACCACAAGTGAGCGTACTCACCAGCTCTCTTTAACTTCAAGTCCTGGAAAGGGGCATTACCGTGCCTCAAAAGCCAGCCTGTTTGTTCTTTTTAAAAGGTTAAAATATCTTCCTCCACCCCCCCACCCACCATGCAAAAAATATTCCAAGAAAAAATCTATTCAAATGCACATTTCCTGGGAGGGGTTTACTCCCCCGCCCAGCCCCATAAGTCCCATACTGTTTAATCTACTGCTTTCAACAAGCATTTTTTTCTCCCGACAAATCTCCCCTTTTTATTATCCAATTAGTCTCATGGCAGATTACACACTTTTAAGATTTACAACATCTAGTAATCATTTATATCATACATCTTTTAACATTATATCAGCAAATACTTATTTATACAATATTATCTTAACATTACTATATGAGCAACAGAAACCACCTTAAAAATACTCATAAAGTTAAGTCAACAAAAACTTTTAACACATAACCTTTCAGGGAATTATGAGTGTCCACCCTCAGACCATTTTACCCATACATGCACATATGATCTGGAGCCTATGTCCTGTCTCAAGCCAAAAGCCTCTTTTACATTTTTCTTTAAATTTAACCCAAACTCCTAATTTTTTTACAAAATTTCACTTTTCCATGAGTTGGAGCCAGCACATTGAATCCCACCACTTTTGACAGCAACTGTAAAAAGGATCAGGGCCACCTGGGCTGTATCATTTCTGACCTTATCAACTTCACAGGGGGAAATCATCTCCACCCACAGCATAATTAGCACAAAACTATGAGTTTAGATTTGTCACCCATGCTCTCATGCCTCTTCCTACTCATCTCAACAGCAGTTTTACTGATTTACTGGGTCTAAAATCCACAGACCACATATTTGGGAAGTAAAAGGTTATAATTCAGATTAATAACAGAATACAGTCAAGACAGCTCCCAAAATGTGCACACAGGCATCTCAGCCTCAAACCTCATGGTTTCCCAGTGCTCAGTCCTGCCAATATTGGCTTTGCTCCTCCAATTTTCCAACACAGTTATCAGGCCTTTCAGTAATGGGTTTCCACCCAATTGTCAAACACAGTTCTTAGTCCTGTCACTATTGACTTCCCTCCACCCCCCAAGTCCCATCTCAGCTCTCCAGATCAGTCATCATATTGCTGCTTTCCCAAAGTATGTTGTACATTTCACCATGTGAGGGGAGATTCTCATCTCTGGCTGGGAGAAGAGTTCTCTCTTGGAGTGGGGAAAGTCTCCATCTCTGTAGCAAGAGCTCTTCAACTCATTGGCAAGACTAGCCAATCCCCTTGTAGATTGTTGAGACTGACCAATCTCCTTGTGGATAGGCCTTACCATTCTCCTTGTGGATAGGCCAGCACGAGCCATTTGTACAGTCCCACACACCCACATTAAAGTGGCTACAGAAATAATGGCTAGAGAAGTCATAGTGAAAGATAATCTTCATACTCACACAATGTGGACAAATAGCTAGTAAATCTGAGTGACGCTGAGCAAATATTCTAAGTTACTCTACAGACTATAGGGAAAACAATCATGTGCTTATTTAAAATAGCAAGTAACATTCAAATTTTTAAAATACGTTCCTATCTACAATTTTTCAGATTTATGGTATATATTTGACATTTTAAATCTAATACAAAGGACTGTTCACTCTGGGGTTTCACAGTAACATCAGTAGACTGCTTTGAACTCCACTTGGACATTCCTCAATGAAACTTAATTTCAACCCATTTCATTATGTTAGTCGAAGACTTATGAGGGAACATACTGGCTTCCTTTTGTTAATAAAATATTTACTACTAACAATTACACAATCTGGAATGTTGCATATCAAACTGCAGTTGTCCTAGGAGAAATTGATGAAAATGCATATGTTGGAATAAAATTATACTCAGGAAAAGTTGGAGGAGGAATGTGAGACAGTGATAAAGAAAGGTATAGCTTCATTCGATGTACTTGTAGAAAATTCTGGATAATTCCAGAGACCCTTCTGCTGGAATTATTGTCTAACTCAGTTCCTCTCACTTAACTAAGAAGTGGCATGTGAATATCCTTGTTAAGGTTTTACAGATTCAGTTCTGCTTAGAGCCACCTGTGTGATAATTGAAAAATAGTCAATGAGCTTGTTGTTCTAAACAGGATATTTTGTTCTCATTTTCCTTGCTACCTTCTTTTTCCCTCTTCTCTCTGTCTCTTTAAAGATCTTAGGGCAGTTGGACTAAAGAAAGGCATGTTCTTCAATCCTGATCCGTATCTTAAGATGTCCATCCAGCCAGGTAAGAAGAGCAGTTTCCCCACCTGTGCCCACCATGGTCAGGAGAGAAGATCTACTATCATCAGTAATACCACTAATCCAATATGGCACCGAGAGGTAAGGGGGTTTCTGTATTTGGTGGTTAGAAAGTCTGCCACCTAAATCTCTTTCCTCTTCCCTAAACTTCTTTGGTTCTTTATGGATGTGGATAAGATGGCTGAAATCTCTGGGAATTCTGTTAGGAATAGGGTGCAGTGGAAATGAGAGATTCCTTGCAAGCCAGGATGGAATGAAATGAGTAAAATGAGAGAAGTGCTCACTTCAAGGGCATCACTTTAAAAGTGAAAAGGCATCAGAAATTCAGTAATCAAGATTAGTCACATTTTATTCTACCATAAAAGTAACACAGAAGATCTATGACGGTAAAATACATAAATATTAATTATCAGATCCGTTGCAGGAAGCTGTTGAGCCATATTGGAGTCTAGGGTAAAAGAAAAAGGGGAAAAAAATCAGTAATACTGGTGACCTAGTGGTAAGAAGCTGCACTGCCATACCAAAGGCACACAGTTTGAATCCACCAGCTATTCTGCCAAAAAAGAATGGGCATTCTCCTCTCATGCAGTTTACTGCCTTTGAAAACTTACTGGAGGGTCAGCTATGGATCGGTTCTGACTCTATGCCATACAACAAAAACAACAATCTCTATGTATTTAGAACTTTGATATTTTTCAGGAGCAATTAAAAATGTTTTATTCCCTAAGGTCTTTGGTAAGTGTTTTATACATTTCTAGATTTCTGTTGATTTTACAAGCCATTCAAGCTGTCTTTATCTCCAGTGAAGCCAGAATGCATTTATTTTACTTCCACCAGTGGTTTTTTTTTTCTGATACAATTATCTCTTTTAATGAGATAATGGCAAAAATATCACATTTTATAACCAGAAAAAAATTAAAGTAAACAGAAGATGCTTCCCTTTCCCTAATCTCTGTGTAATACCAATATCAGCATATCAGCAAAGAATAATTAAAAACAATAGAAATTCTAGCTTAATTCCATTATACCCTAAATTATTTTAAATCTTTTTTTTTTCCCACCAGTGGTTTTTAATGTACTATATAAGTAAAACCAAGAAAAGAGTTTTATCACTAGGCTTGTCTAAGGCCTAAAGCCAAAGAAAGACTCTATTTTATTATTATTATTGTTATTATTAATTTTAATGAAAATTTACAGAAACTTTGGATTTCCTTTCATTCATTGTTGCACTTTTCTCCCTGCCCACTGCCTCCCCCCACCCAGTTCCCTCTTCTTTTTGAAAAGTAAAAGAAAAATTTTTTCATTTTTACACAGTCCCTCCCCCCAGTCCATTCCACTATGCAGCCTTCATTCTGGAATCCTGTCATGACAATAATACCTAATCATATTTCCCTTTTCATAGATTAATTTTAGAGTGTTACTGTGTAAACCTATATTGGCAAATGAGTTACACAGTTGATTAATTGATACCCTGAATGTTTAAAGACAACATTGTATTCTGTCAGTGTTAGAGGAATATTGAATAGAGGTTATTCTAGGTCTGTAAAACCAATTAGAGAAAAGATGTGACTCGTTGAAGTGTTCCCAGTATCTCAGCCTAAAGGGTAAAAAAAGTTGCATTATGGTATATTCTGATTTTATGGCAATGTGTTTGCTTTTGTAAGGAGCTGTGAGAATTTCTGTAGTGCATAATATGTCAAGGTGCCAACCAAAAGATTGTCTGTTTGAACCCACTAGCCACTCAGAAGATAAAACATGGTTCTCCTGTAAAGATGGACAGCTTCGGGAACCTAAAGGCAGGTTGCTATGAGTAGGTTAAGTATTTTGGTTAAGGAGTCCTGGTGGCACTATGGTTAAGCTCTCAATTGCAAACCAGAGAGTCTCAGTTTTAACTTACCATGTGCTTTGTGGAAGAAAGATGAAGCCGTCTGCTGCTGTGGAGATTATAGGCATAGAAACCTTATGACAAGGAGGTGTTTTGGTTTTTTGCGTTTGTTTTGTGTTGTTTTGTTTTGGTTTTTGTGGGTTTGCTTGTTGTTGTTTTTTCTGTCTGGCAATGTTCCTGTGAGTCAGAATTCACTCAGGGGCAATGGATTTGTTTTTTGAGTTTTATCTTAAGTGTAAATCTAACTAGACTTACTCACAATCACCATGGCAGCATGAATACATTCAAGGAAGGAATGAAGTGAATTAGGTGAGATTCTGATCCCTCTACTACTTATTTTGAGATACCCATCTCTAAAAAGAACTCTTTATACTTATAAAGAGAAGATGAAGATAATACTTGTGAAAGTCTTTGTAAGTGGGTAAGACTTTGTTTTATGTCTATATATATGTAAAGCTTTTTGTATTTGGTATATTTTTAAGGTGTAATTGATTTCCTGTATTTTATTCAAATAACACACACTTTAAATGGTTTTTTAATGCTCAACCCAATTTAAAGCCAGAACAACAAGCCTATGTTAACCTCAACCTTGCATTTTTTATACCAGAAGAAATTATCCCCATTCAAATGACATAATTTCATTTAAACTGTCTTATTTTAAAATTATCACATAAACAAAGCACAGTATTCCATAAATACTCTGACTTTTACCACTAAGTGAGGAAGTATTTTAAATTATGTTTTGAAACTTCTAATTCCGGTGATATCAAGTATTAAAATTATGGTTAATCAGTTTGTTTAATTCTAAACTATCCAATCATAAGATACCAAATTTCAGAGCTTAATATATAATGAATATAGTATGTATTGAAATTATATTATGCATAATTTAACATTTAATAACATCTCAAACAGTTGAACCTGGAAGGGATGGGGGATTGGTTGATGGATGATTGATAATTCTTCTTTGGCAATACAGATCCTTATCTAATAATTGTGAATATTCATGATTCCAAGTGAGGAAAGGACTAAAAATAGCTGCAGATATTCCTAGCAGTGTGCACTCCGTGTTCTTAGAATTTAAAGAGATGGCATTTTCTCTATTAACCAAATATCATGTTATTAGTCTTTCTTTTGAATTAACATACGTGGGCTTTGATTTTTGTTTTCCAGAAATACTCCTTTTTTGCACTTCTGACTGATGTCTTAGAGATTGAAATTAAAGACAAATTTGCCAAGAGCCGCCCTATCATCAAGCGTTTTCTGGGGAAACTAACCATCCCAGTCCAGAGGCTCCTGGAGCGACAGGCCATTGGGTAAGCAGTCCTTCCTTTCAGGAACAGTGCTAAATGAGCAATTGAAATGATACTCGTAGTCCCAGCATTTTTCTTACTGATGAAAATGGTAGCATACACTTTTAAAAAAGGGAAGTCCATTTATGATTATTATTATTATTATTATGTACCATCAAGTTGGAACCAACTCACAGCTTACCCTCCAGTGGATTTTCAGAGGTAGTAAATCACCCAGGAAGAGACGACCCATCTTTGTCCCATGGGGCAACTGGTTGATTTGAACCTCATTCCTTTGGGTTGGCTGCACAACTCCTTACCCCTATTATCAGAGCTCTTACTGGTCACTCTAAAGAATTATGGAGCAGGCGTACTAAATCCTACAGGGTTGCCATGAATTTAAATCAATGTGATGGGTTTGGTGTTATTCTTATTGAAGAGTGCTAGGGGGAAAAAGTAGTTTTATTTGGGTGCCTTTTTGTTGTTATCTGGAGTTTTTCCAAGATGTTCCTACCAGTGTCAGATCTCAGAGTATTAAATTGTTTTTTCATATTTTTAAATAGTATTGTAAAACTTTCTTCCTGGAGCAGAAAAAAAGTGCAAGGTTGACAACTATCTTAACTCACTAATCCTCACTGCAGAAAAATCAAGACATTGTTGTTTGCTGCTGGAAAGGAGCTTGGTACTTGAAAGGAGCTCTAGGGTCTATGGGAGTGTTGTAGTGGCGCTCCTAGACACAAAGCTCTTGTAAAGATCTGGACACCTGTGTAACTGCTAATCATAGATGTCATGCAAACTGGAAAGAAATCCAGCATGAATTCATAAATTCATTCAGACAAAAGAACTTTCATCACTAATTTTAAGAAGTGATTCCATCTTTTTCTAAGTTGTGAATTAAGTAGAAATCATTGCATGCTTCTATACCTTAGTGTCAGTATTGTATGTATTTTTACATGGTCAGTACAGACAAATGCAGTCACACTAGCTCTGTGAAGTGCCATTGAAGCAGCATACTGCTTTGTAATTTTTCAGTGTAGTAACACAGAAGGAACATGTGGTATTGGTGCTAGTAGTAGCATTAGCAACAGGAATAGTAGTAGTTGTAGCAGCAGCAGCAGCAGGAGCAGCAATAATAATCACCTGAGTGGCTGGGCGCTTACTGTTTATAGGGAGTTACGTACATGACATGAACTCTCAGTAATCCTCTGTGGTAGGTCCTGCAATTCTGCCATTTCAGGATGAGGATTCGGAAATTAGAAAGTAACTAATGCAGCTGGAATTTTGAGTTCCTTTCCAGCTCCTGTAGAAACCTGGCTTCTCTGCTACAAGTTAAGGATTTACAGTTATGGAGGATCAGTTAATCTCACTGGCTGAGAAGGGCCGATCATTGGCATTCACTCTGCAACTAATAAACTATTTCCCTTGAATGAGTCATGATATATTCTTGAGTATTAGTCTCCTCATCTGAAAAGAAGGCATTTCAGACAGCTGTTATCTAGATCTGAAACTTGGAGATTGTCATGGATTCTAATTCTCTATCCAAGGTAATAGATTTTTGTGATTGAGCTAGCCCATGCGATGCAGAAATATTGTGCAGAAATTCTAACATCCTTATTTATCTGATAATAGTTGGAAATGCTCAATTATTGTTAAGAATTACAATTTATTCCTTCTTGTGGTGATAACATACCGTTAGGCATTTTTTAAATTACTTTTAAGGTTTGTAGAAAGTGAAAGATTATAGAGAGTGAGCATTAACTTTTGGAAATATATATGTATCATTTTTGTTTAACTATAATTTGCATAATCTTTGTAGTACTTGTTAGAACTGTGAAGTTATATATAGCAGAAAGAAGGATCGGGGCGGGAGGAGGGAGAACCTTGTTAGTGGGAAGGTGTTGGTTACTTGCTGGCTTCTCCCTTAGTCTGTCAGAGACCTGGACAGCTAGAAAATTGCTGGGTATGATGTCATGTGTACAGAGAGGAAGTCTGACATTGATTCACAAAACAGCAGAACTGTGAAATACTTCATCATAAGTAAATTGAAAGTATTGGTTGATAGAATACCTAGGGACTGGTTTTATTAAATTAAAAAGATACATATTAGCTTGTCAACTTTTGGCATATGCATAGATATTTCTATCTTTTACTGCTTTTCATCACGTGTTTTATGCGTCTTGAAAAATGCTAAGTTTTGTGTATTTGGTGGTCTCCGAATTAGTTGAAGTTTTACTGGGTGAACTTTTATAGCACAGCTAACCCTCCTCATTAATATCCTATGCTGAGACTATCTGTTAAAATATGACAGACTTTTTTTTTCTCAAAACTTCCTCACCTCCCCCTCCTTTGTCTGTTCCTCTGGTTTTATCAGTGACTTGGGCAGTGAGAGTGTTGGGCCACTTATTCCTCATAGTCAGGTATCAGCGGGAGGCAGGGCTGAAGATGAGACCACTAGATGAGATGAACCCTGGACAGGCCTTCGGTAAAGGACAAAACTCTGGACTTGGAATCCATGAATAGCTTCAATTTTTCTGTATTTAAGTTGCATATCTTGTTAGTTTATTAATGAACAGCATTAATACCATCAAGTCAGAACACATTCATAGCTGACCCTTCAGTGGATTTCCAGAGGCAGTTAATAAGCACGAGAGGAGATTGCCTGTCTTTCTCTAATTTTTTCCCCCCTAAGAAAAGAGTCTGCAACAAAACTGTATTTGGGTGCCTACAATTCGTCAAGCACAGTGTTGGTCGTTGGAAATATGCTCGTGAACAAAACAAACTCATGGGCCCCCGCCCCTTACCCATCTTATCAAAACGTGATTCTAAGCTAAAACCCACGACTTTTATAAAGACTCATCATTAACACTGATAACTTTCAAATGGAGGTGTGTCAGTTTATTTATTTTTTTTTTGCAAATAAATACATAATGGTGGTTATTATTCAAGGATAGTCTGATTTGAGAGCTGGATGGGAATTAGCAAAGTTGCCAGGAAGTCATTCCACAAGCCAAAATAATGTATATATTCATGGATTACGGGAAAATATTGAAACCTTTGCATGTCAGGCACTATCTAGGTGCTAGGAGTACACTTTTACTGTCACTGAATCAGAACCCACTTATACATGACCCTCTGGTGTGGCTTTGGAGGCTGTAAATCACACAGGAAGAGAATGCCCAATACCTGCGACATTATCAGAGCTGAGAGTACACAGGTGAGGGGGAATATAACAGTAGGTGCTTACTTAATGTTATTTGAATACTGGGATGGAAAAACATCTCTACTTTGAAAACTAAAACTTGCTGCTGTTGAATTCATTCTGATTCACAGTAACCCCTCCATGGATTTTGAGACTGTAAATTGTAATGGGAGGAAACGGGCATATTCTCCTGTGGAGATGGATTTGAAATAGTTCAAGACTCGTGGTATTTGTGTTAGCAGCACAGCTCTATGTGGACCATAGAGCGCCCTCGAAGCGTTTAACTACCTTGTGTAATAGGAAGCTTTGGTGTCCTAGTAAGTAAAGCCTTTTGTTGCCAACCCAGAACCGGCAATTCAAATCCAGCAGCTGCTCTGTAGGAGAAAGATGGGCAATGTCCTCCTGTAAGAGTCAAAGCCTCTAAAGACCCGTTGGAGGGTCAACTATGATTTGATTCCAACTTGACAGCAGTGAGTTTGCGTTTTTGGTGCTTTATAATGTTTAATAGGCCCAGTAATAAAGTGGTTAAAGGTTAAGTGGCTAACCTTTAAAAGGTCAGCAGTTTGAGCTTAACAGGCACTCCACAAGAGGAAGATGGGCTAGTCTCCATCCATAAAGATTTCAGTCTTGGAAGCCAAGTACGGGAATTCTACTCTACTCTAGAGGGTTGCTATAAGTGAGTCAGAGTCAGAGTCAGCTAAGAGGCAGTAAATCTTGAGTTTCACGATGCTCAGTCGGTGTTTCTCTGAGAAGTTCAGCTGGCATGGCCCCATAGATTTCTAACTCAGAGGCCTCAGTCTCCAGTGGTTGGAATCCACTTGTGGCTCTGCAGGAGAACATTCTCCTTCTGTTACAATTTACAGCCTTGGAAATCTAATTGCGGGTTGCTGTAAATCCAAATGGATTAGATGGCAGTGAGTGATATCTTCCTTTGTGCAAGAAGTCTATTTTGTTATGTCAGTTGAAGTAGAAACAGCATTATTAGCAGCCACATTAGAGGAGCAGCGATAAATGTATGTCTTTAATATGCATGCCCAGGACTATTGAGAACAAAGGACAATGAGGTCGGGACCCGTGAATGCAGAGCTGGGGCTCCTGCCACACATGGAGCTGTGTTCTCCTTCCGGTCTGTCACTGGCCACTTATCTGACCTGGCCACACTGCTTAGCCTCCCTTGGTTTTCTCCTCTCGAAAGTGGGACAAGAGGAGTAGTAAGATGATTCCCAGAATGGTCTTAAAATATACTCGACACATTCACTCAATTTGGAAGGAAAAATATTTTTAAATTATCAAGAAAACCTGTCAGAATTATAACACTAGGAAAGAAATAGGTAAAAGAATCAATCTCATTGTTTGATAAAATCTTGCTGTGAAGTTAAAAGATTTCATCAGGAATATATTAAAAGAAATTAAAAAAATATAAAGGAAATGATCTTATAAATTTCGTTCTGAAATGGCCAGTAGAGGGCACTGAGAGAGCAGAGATAGTGCAATGTGGTATTAGCACTTTGATTATTTTCCTTAATGAAGAATAAATCGTTGGATTCTGAACAAAAGCCACTTGCATACATGCAAATAATATTGTTACATTTAAATAAACCCCGGGGTGGAATTGACAGACTAATCCATCTTGGAGTAGGCTGGCATCCTGTGCCGGGTCAGTGACTGGGCAGATCTGGCCTAAACCCCCTTACCCCAAACTCAACTTTCCCTCAGATGTGGCCTCTTGCCGCCAGTGCAGCACAAGTCTGGTTTCTCTAATATTCTGTCAGGATTATCCACCCACAGTGCACCCAATAATGAAATGCTAGGTCAGGCTCAGGAGGGGAAGGAGAGGTTAGGTAGACTTCTCCTCACAGGACTGGGGCTTGAGCATAGGGCTGTTACTGTGCTATCTGCTCCTTAGTCCTGCTCACTAGTTCTCAGTACCTCCAGGTGTACAGCCCTCCTGCTGGAATAATCCTTTGCTTTAAGGGTCCTTTGAAACCAGAACTCTGTTATGCTAAATGCTCAGGAGCCAAGTCCCCTGTATTTTTACACCTCAGTCACACAACACCTTAAACTAGCTTATACGACTCTATGGTGAACTTCAGATTGCTTTATCCCCATCACCCTTACCAGTGACAGAGCCAATCAGTGGCTTCTGAACAACTGTATTATTTTATTAGATGTGACATTTTCTGCTTCTACTAACAAATTTCCAGGAACACACATGATTCTCTTTTACCTCCAGGTTTTTGTAAGTCTTAAATTTATGCAAGTGAATGGATATCATTTATTGGATTATAAACTGCTTGAGCCTTTCATTTCCAGTACTGGTGTGTCTGGTAGCTGGGGTGAGAAGTGGTCTGGGAGGAAGGTGAAGGTGGGCACAGGTGGAAGAAGGATGAGAGAACCTTTCTCCTCTTACAGAGATCAGATGCTCAGCTACAACCTTGGCAGGAGGCTCCCAGCCGACCACGTGAGTGGGTACCTCCAGTTTAAAGTGGAGGTTACGTCTTCTGTTCACGAAGGTGAGATGTCTGGAAATCCCACTGTAGGGGAAAACATGAACTCTTACTCTAATTTTCGGTTTACCTTTGACTAGGGTGGAATTTGTGTCCTATTCTGAGAATTAAATAGCTGTCATTGATTACTAGCTTGTGCTTTCCAAGCAGATATGAAGAGCCTATTTATTTAAAAAATATATATCTACACACACACAACACACACACACACACACACACACACATACATAGAGAGCCCATTTGTTAAAACATATATCTTATTTA